TAGACTGCTCAGCAACATGGAAGGCATATTAGGTGTCAGTGAAGGAGCATTCAAGAGCCTGCTACATATCAGGAAGAGATTAAATTTGAATCAGTGATGTCAGTGATAAGTGATGACATCAGTGATGAGTGGTGACGTCAGTGACAAGTTGTGACGACAGTGACTCATCAGTGGTGAGTGGTGTCCCTCAAGGGTCTATATTGGGACCAGTACTGTTTATTATCTTCATCAATGACATAGACAGTGGGATCGAGTGCACCCTCAGCAAGTTTGGAGATGACACCAAGCTGAGTGGTGTGGTTGACACGCCTGAGGGACAGGATGCCAGCCAGAGGGACATGGACAAGCTTGAGAAGTAGGTCCATGTGAACCTCATGAGGTTCAACAAGGCCAAGTGCAAGGTCCTGCACATGGGTTGGGGCAACCCCCAGTATCAATACAGGCTGGGAGATGAACGGATTGAGAGCAGCCCTGCAGAGAAGGACTTGGGGGTATTGGTGGATGAAAAGCTGGACAAGAGCCGGCAATGTGCGCTTGCAGCCCAGAAAGCCAACTGTATCCTGGGCTGCATCAAAAGAAGCGTGACCAGCAGGTAAAGGGAGGTGGTCCTGCCCCTCTCTGCTCCACTCTGGTGAGACCCCACTGGAGTACTGCATCCAGCTCTGGAGCCCTCAGCACAGGAAAGACATGGGCCTGTTGGAGCGGGTCCAGAGGAGGGCCACAAAAACGATCAGAGGGGTGGAACACCTCTCCTATGAGGACAGGCTGAGAGAGTTGGGGTTGTTCACCCTGGACAAGAGAAGGCTCCAGGAAGACCTTACTGAGGCCTTCCAGTACTTATAGGGGGCTTATAAGAAAGATGGGGACAAACTTTTTGGCAGGGCCTGTTGTGATAGGACAAGGGGAAATGGCTTTAAACTAAAGGAGGGTAGATGCAGACTAGATAGAAGGAAGAAATTTTTTACAACAAGGGTGGTGAAACAGTGGAACAGGTTGCCCAGAGAGGTGGTAGATGCCCCATCCCTGGAAACATTCAAGGCTGGGTTGGATGGGGCTCTGAGCAACCTGATCTAGTGGAAGATGTCCCTCCTATTGCAGGGAGGGTGGACTAGATGACCTTTAAATGTCCCTTCCAACCCAAACTGTTCTATGATTCTATGACTGAAAATTGGTATCCCACCTCACAGACATGTCTCTTGAAAAATCTCCTGCTTGGCCGTTTTTGGGGGAGTCTGAAGCAATTTGCCACATTGTTAGGACAGGTAGGCAGGGGGGTGCCTGATCTGAGAGTCACTGGAGCCAGTTTGTGATATATGCAGTAATTTATACCTCCAGGGGATTGAACTTCAGGTGTACCACAGATTGTTCTGGCAAAAACTGTTCCCACAATTTAGTTGCCTACAGGATCAGGCAACAACTGAACACCATTTTTGTGGGTCTAATTTTTGGAAAAAAAGAAAAACCAAACCCATTGCAGTTAGGCACCAAACTCCTGTAATGGATCAGACTTTTTAATAGTACTTTCTGGTTAATGAAGTAGCAAACCAGAAGGTATATTAACTAAAGATGTTTAAAATCAACAGAAAGATGGCCTGGATTTTTCTTTTTCCTTCTGTTTTCAATTAAAAGCCCAGCTCTTACAATTTAGCAGATTTGCTAAATACGTGTTTATATGTATTAGTGTCTTTCTCTGTCTTACTTGGTGGTGTCACTCTTTCTTAAACCAATTATCCATGCTTGGGGGCCCTGTGTATTATTTCTATTAGGAAAACAAATTGATGATGAAGTAAAATATCTTTCATTCAGGCCCTTGTTTATTTACAATGACTGCTGGAATTGTGTCTCCTCGAACTCAGGAGGACTCAAACAGCAGAAAATAATTTTTCCCTCAAACTTTAAATCACTATTTAGCCAAAGTTTAGGCTGAAAATCTTCCTTTCTAGGATTTTCTCAGTGCTTGTCCAGCATGTACCTGATGACCCCTTACTGATTTCTTTCAAGTGGATGTTTTTGTTGTAATTGTTGTTGTTGCTGCTACAGCTATTCAGAAGACAGTTACTGAATCTGTCTGTCTGCATATGCCCTGTCTGCACGTGCCTTTGGGAAGGGAGGATAGTTAGCTTTGGTTTTGGGAGATGTAATGGTGCTTAACTGTTTATTATAACAATTTTAAATTATGGTCAGAGGTTTAAACCAATCCAGAATAACAAAAAAGGAGAAAAAGGTCTCCTGCAAGCTGATTAAGACAACAGATCCAGGCAATTAGTCTTAATTACATACATAAAATTAGTGGATAGGTCAAAATATCATTTATCAAAGTCACAAGTTTTACGTGGTCACAAATCATACAGCCATAAACCAAATACAAAGGGCACAGTTACAGAGTATAAAGGGTTTATTCACTTGATGATAAATTAATTGATAAACAAAAAAAATCAATTTAAGTTAGGCCTATCTCTTTTTATATTAGTATTTATTTTATTCAGTCTAAAACCTGCTTTACAATATATTAAGGTCTTCAATCCGACAAAGACCAAATATGATCAAGTGTTTTCTGCAAAGTATGATGCATACTCAAAATGAAAGATGGAAGGTGATGTTTGATCTATATTCTATTTGAAGCCCAGCAGATGTCCAGTGCTGATGGAAAGGGGCAGGTACTGTGCTTTCCAATGATTGATGGGAACTCCATAAATATGTTCATTCCTTTAGAATTTTTCAGTTTCTTGTATGTAGCCATTAATGTAAACCTTTTCTGATGCTTTCTAATGAAATAGCACTTGTGCTTGTACACAGAATAAATGGCTTGATATGACACATATTCTTTATTTGGTGATGATGGTGAAGCTGTGTCCCGATGGTATAGAGTCTACATCTTGGCCTCCAGAGATATAAAGAGGAGTTAAGTCTATCTAGAAAGACAAATGGGATGTGAATATTACAAAAATCCAGATTTGACATGTAGACTGTATCAAGTTCTTCTAATTTTTGGTTTCCTTCCCCTCTCTTCAAACTCTTTTGGAAGACCAGACTGTAAGTAAGGCTTGTTCTTCCGTACCAAAAATGACAGATGTTAAGGCATCCTGGTGCATAAACCCTGAAAAAACTTGCATCTAGTCTGTGTATCTAGCTGCACAGTGGCATTTTACCTCACACAGTTTTGCTAGGAAAAAAGTTTAGTGTCCGACACTTGGATGCCGAAGTCCACTTCCCAGCAGTGCAAAGAATAAGCCATAAAGACCAAAAAACATAGAGCATAACAATTTATGCATATCACAGCGCGTAAGTAACAGAGTACCTGTAGCGTCCTGCAAGACAGGTTTGTTTCCAAGTCTTTAGGGAAATTATAACTAAAACTGAGAAGGAGAGAGTACAATAAGAAGCAGTGTGTTACTTGCACGGCATTCTCTTGGGCCCATGAAATTTGGAAGCATTTATAGAGACGGTCTGAAGCCAGCTGGATTCTGATGAGTTTTAACCTCAGCCTCTTAGTTTCTGAAAATGAAAATACAGTAAACCTTTGCAAGCTGGTACAGCAGTCCTGTCAAGGCTGGAAGCTGGTCAATCCTGCCACTAGCTCAATGTACCAAATTACACTAAATAAATGAAACATTGTCCCTATCGGCTTGCACAAAAAATTCAGGCTCGAAGACTTTGATTAAAATGCAACGAAAAAGTACGTATCTGATGCCTAGTCTTGCCGGAAACAGAAATGGGTTGTTACAAGCTTTCGAATTCTGCTTCGCAAAGAGAAGTCTCATGCGGCTGGTCTGAACCCACAGTAAAATTCGTGTCCCGAACCTCCAGCCATATTTGCACGTTCGGGACTTTTGCGGAGCTCACGTGCGAACACCCAGCTTTTTCCCTTCGCCGCGTCTCAGCAGGAGCAGGCTGCCTTAGCACCCCCTCGCCAGCTACCAACGGATGGAGGCGGCAAGGGACGGGCCCCCCCCGACCTTTTCCGGGCGATAGCTTCTGCAGGACCGAGGCCAGCTTCTGGCGGGAGGCTGAGGTCCCAGACCGCCCTCGCTGCCCCGCGGGACTCGGGGCACGGCCCGGGGAGCCGGTGCGGGCTCCGCCGCCTCCGG